GGGCTAAGTTGATGAGAGCTGACACACAGCTCTCATCCCTAAGCTTTTTGGAATGATTTTAATTTTGTCGCTGCCCTCAGCCCTCTGTTGTTAAATGTACAGCTTATTTCAAGGGATATTTATCAAAGCGCCCGAGCTATAAGCTGAGATACGTAACTTTAGTCCTTAGAGTCGTAGCGATACATTAAGCTTCCTGAATCTCTTCGCATAAAAGAATTGGATGTTTATGGAAGATTTTACGAGCTAAAAAAGCCCTCAGTTGTTTGACTGTTTGGATGTCACAAACAGCAATCATCGATGTAACGACAATACGGCAGTGGCATTCGCGCTAACACCGGCTCTTCGACCTTACTCATAAAGCATATGGCAAGAACTGGTGCTAGTCTTTGGCCCATAGCTAATCCAAGTATCTGGAAATAGTAAGTCCAAGACCATCTAAAGATGTTACAGCTCAGACACTCGCTTACTAGGGCCATCGCGTTTGCCTTGCTGAGTCCAAATAAATTTATCGCGCCAGCATCTCATCCAACATCTCCGATAGCGCTTGCAAAGCTTGGTCGTTCTGCACATTAGTGTAAAGAGACGTTACGTCGAACGACTCTATCATTGCGCTCGAATCAAACTTAGCATTGCGGAGCTGTTCGATAAACGTACGAGAGTTGGTTAAATGTGCTGGTACTTTCGTTAACAGTTGGCTCACAATTTTGGCCAGATACCACGATATTCGATCAGCGGGACCGCCCACGCAACTAACAATCGACCTAATCTTATAAGTCTCCGGTGACATTGAATGTAGTTCGCGCAAGGAAAGCTTGTGCGTTTTGGAAAGACTGTAAAAGACTGGACAACATGGACTTGTTACCTTTAATCTGCTAGAATCTGTTAGGATATCCAGCAGATCTCCCTATTGCACTCCAAACATCGTTAGGTCTTTTACATTGGGCTTGATATTCTTTCTCAGAGGCTACTCTATACGTTGCAGCGTCTGCGAGATAAGCAGCTGTTGTCCGACGATCCAATTCCTGTGGAATAACCACAAATTCACCACCCTTATCACTTATTGATAGACGCACAGAATCATTTTTTATGAGTCCACGTATCTCTTTGAAACCTTTCCATTGTGTTCGAGAAAGATTAGCGGTGCTCCCGTTTGGACTTAGTGAAAACTTCTAAAACACCAGAGCATAGGGTACGGAGCTTTACATTTATGTTCAAATTTGGTTCAGGCTGTCTATAGAAGGATTGTGGAAAAGGAATCGTCGGCATTAGGCCATGACTGGCGGCAGCGTTACCATAAATGCTCGCGCGTTCTGAGAAGATCTCTGAGCTTGTGCAGACCTACAACTACCTTTCGGTAAGTACTGGCGTTGATATTCTGCGCAGGGGAGAAGGAGGAACCTAAAGCTAAGAAGCTCTATTACATTTGAAGAGACTTGAATGTCACCAACAACCGTCACTCTCGTCGTTTTGCCATCGCATAATGATATACATTTGGAGCAGTGGCCGGCTTTGTCAGATGAGCAATTTTTATGGAATTCGATCGAGAGTCGGTCGTACTTCGCGAGAAGCTTAGACTTGACGTTAGATTGGACCAAATCACAAATTGACTTGGAACCATCCTTAATTTTCCTCCAACTCCGACTAGGCAAGAGACGCTCACAAGCCTTTTCTTTAGCATCACATTTTAACAAAGTGGAATACAACAACCTCTTTTTTCACGAATGATGATGTATAAAATGGAGAGGTATCGTCGTTTCCCCGAGATAGATGGGGCGTGTCGCTGCACAAGTCCGCAAATGTCCGTAATGGATGCGGTATTGGCCGCGGCGCGGAATCGATAACGCCGAACAGCTGATAATTTTCCGACGCTGCAGCGACAGGTGGGTTTTCTTTGCTTAATCATGCTTTTTTGTTTCAGATTTCGCTGGAAATTGTAAAGGTGAATTTTTATTGTTCATTTACACTGACTGCATAGTATTTTTTTAGTTTTGGCGCATTGCTGGTGCGGATGTTGCACTCTTCGTGCAACATGCGTGCTTTTACTTCTTTTTTTGTGTCGTTTTATGTTGCATTCTTCATGCAACATGGATTGCATTATGCTTTACCTGTGTTTCCTTCGATCTCCATCTAAAACATGAACAAAACAACATGAACAGAAACACAGGTAAGCATAATGCAATCCAATTCAACGAAATAGTAAAAGAAAATTTGTTAAAAACGACACATGAGTAAAAAAGAAGTAAAAGCACACATGTTGCACGAAGGGTGCAAAACCCGCACCAGCAAGATGCAAAAACTGAGAATATATCATAAAATAAGTGTAAATGAACGATAAAGACTCACCTTTGGCAATTTCCAGCGAAATCTGAAACAAAAAAGCATGATTAAGCAAAGAAACCCAACCCACCTATCGTCGCAGCGTCGGAAAATCATCAGCTGATCAGCGTTTTCGATTTCGCCCCGCGGCCAAAACCATATCCATTACGGACATATGCGGACTTGTGCAGCGACACGCCCCATCTATCTCAGGGAAACGACGATATGTTAGTAATCTTCTTATCATTCTCGTTGAGGCCACAAGTGTATCCAATCTTCTTTACTTTGATAAATCCGGTATGATGCTCGTTCTCTTGCACCGTTGGGGGAAATATTAAGGACTATCGGGCAACTACCGCTTTTTGCCGAAGGGATAGTGCTTCTCGTGTTAAACGGAACAAGTGTGGCAGTGTATTGTTCAACAGTTTCCAAGTTCCGTCTGTTTTGAACCTGGGCATTCTTCGTATGTATTGTGTGTTCTTTTTGTGTCGTACAGGTTGATAGGTGGTCCTTTATTAGTCAGTATCAACGGCCTTACGTTTCAACGCTTTTGTCTTCTTTATGCGAGTTATGACTGTAGATCATTTATTATCCAATACAGATAACTCATTCGTCCGTCGCGACCGTCTCCTCCCGGTACGGACATCTGATGACGAAGCGGTGGTTCTCTGGTATGACACTGCTTTCGCAATTATTGTGGCAACTAGATTGGGTGAAGGCCGAAAACTGGCAGAACTAGGGGAGACATTTGGTGGGCTGGACTTACTGATGAAGCTCAGAACCATTCTAGGCCTCTGACGAAGACGAAAGCGTTGAAACGTAAGGCCGTTGATAGTGAGTAATAAAGGACCACCTACCAACCTGTATGGCACAAAAAGAACACACAATACATGATGCGAAAAACTTTTTTTGCAATATCTAGGAAAAATTTTGGATTTTTAAGTGAAGTCAAGTGTCGTATACTAGCAATTTAGATGCGATGGAGCGAAGAAAAATCACAATCTGAGAAGTATTGAAATTACCCCATCAATCAAATTCAGATAGATGCTTGTATAGAAAACTCATGGAATGTAGCCTTTTGCAGCGTCCCAGCAAAATCCTAATTTGAATTTTCACTCACCAGGGCTTAGCCGTCCCGTTGGTTCCGATCGATCTTGCCGAGTTCAAAAATTGGCTTTTCCTGAAGGCCCCAGCTTTGAATGAAAACGTGAGGACGGGAAGCCAGCCAAGGTTAGAGACGCAGCGTCGCTATGGGACCCAGCTGTCATGACTGTGTGCGCTATACGTACTCTGGCCTTACAGTTCGAAATTGCGGTGTGGCGGTGTCCGGGCCTACCGTGATATCTGGGCCAGTTTCGAGGAAAATTTCAGGCTTAGTAGAACCCGTTTTTCACTAAGGACTTCGGTCATCGCTTAAGAGTAGGGAGTTTACCATAACACCGCTACAAAGCCTGGCACCCTTCGTTTTGATGGGACGCCTTTAAACTCAGTACCTGCTGCACTCCTATAGCTTTCAAATCTTATTGTTTGTGTGTGTGTATCTGTACGTATGTTCCGAATAGACAATTCCATTTCTGAATCGATCCGGACCAAACTTGGCACACATACACTTCGAAGCAGGGCGGATGTCATAGGCTACTTTTCGTTATCGATTTTTACCGATTTTTTGCAAAGTTTGACCTGTGGGCTGAGAGTTGGCACAGGAGGTAATCGAGCATGCTGATTACGGATAAATATTATTTCTTTGAAATTATCCATTACTTTTATCGATTTTATCGATTTTTTACAAAATTTGGGCTACGGACTGGGAGTTGGCTCAGGGAGTAATCGAACATGCTGATTACTAACACAGGGAAAAAAGGGAACTGGCATGCAGAAGTGCACACAAAAAAGGTTGTACAGGAATAGGGATGGGAGCTTTATCAGAGGGCCGGGCACACTCGGGCAAACCAGCTATTGCGAGTAGATATTAGTTTTAGAATTGTCTGTTACTTCTGTTAATTTTACGATTCTTTTTTGCAAAGTTTGAGCTACGGGGATGGAAATTGGCACAGGGGGAATAAATGAGCATGCTGTTTACTAACACAGCGGGAATAGGAATTTGGCATATAGAAATGGGCACAGGGAAGCATTGTACAGGGATAGGAACTGAACTTTTATCACAGTGTCTTGACAGGGACGGGCGGAGCCGGGTAAAGCAGCTAGTTTATTCAAAAGACAAGTGCCTACTGGCACGCGGGTAATACTCGCCAATTTTTATTTTGCGTTTTTGAAAGAATAATCACTGGCAAATGCAACTACTGCGATGTGATAGCGCAAAGCCTCTTCTACATTGTTTGCACCAAAGTGTTGTAGAATATCCACACTATCTTTAGCTACGATATAAGTTGTGACTACTGGAAATTTTGATTTTTTTGTTCGGCAAAAGCACTTGTTTAGTTAATCCAATCCTTACAAAACCGTATGGCAAGCATTTTTAGCTAAGTTGAGCGTGATTTGTAGAGAATGATCGCAGTAGTATGTGGCGCAAATTTGGAATCAAAATCATCAGCTGTTTCCTGGTTTTCAACACTGCAAAGTGGGCTCCCAGACGTTTGCCTCCCTCCCTCTGTAATAGAGTGACATTCTTCCATTAATTTTTTTGGTACGTGGACCATCGACTTGTGAAGAAAAGCAGTCGATTTCAAAAAACAGCTTTATTCGTACATTTTGATTTTTTTGTTGGTTCTTCACTCCCACAGGCTTTCCTCGAGATCGTTCACTCCCGATGTCCGCAAGGGGGTCGGGGTAAGCAATCAATCAGTCGGTGACTCTTCGGTGCAAGCCATCGCAACCTGCGCACTCTTCTGTTTTCGTTTCGATAATCGCAAAACACTCTTGTGCTTTTTTCCAGCTATATGTTTATTCCTTTAAATATTCTAGATTATAAAAGAAGTATAAATAATAATATAATATAATAGTATAAAAGAAATTTTAGGAAAACGCACCAATTTCTTTTCCCAGCGATGACTATATTACATAATTCACATCGTTGTGTCATGTTTGCTTCTTCGCTGCTTTCATAATCTCCTTCCTAGAAACGAGACAAGGTCGACAAAGTCTAAAGGAATACCGTGAGACTTACTTTTTCCTTAAAATCACAGCCATTCATCCACTCATCAACTATAAGTAAACCTTCAGCAATGAAGCCGTTTTTATCAGAAGTATCCAACTTTTTCAGGGAGGGAACCTAAAACATATTTAAACCCGATACTACTTACTATACTACGAGTACTCAAAGCAAATGAGTATAGGCCCGTATGCACTAACATCCCTGCGGGAAGGGGAGCGACGTCCCCCGTTATGAAGGATCCGCGTGCGGGCGTCGTTGCAGCTTCTTTTATCATGGGGATGCCGCTCCCTTCGCCGCAGAGACTTTAGTGCATACGGACCTTAGGCTCATAGGCATGAACCCTACGGCGAGGGGAGCGGCGTCCCCAATAATGAAAAGTTGCAGTGGTGTTCGCCTACCACGGTGCTTTAAACCTAACCGCAAGCCTACGCTCAGATTTCTGTTTTCGGAATTATTTTACGCTACCTTTTGGCAAAATAAAGTAGAAGCATTATCTATACAAAAAGAATTTTGTACACTTTACTTACTGTTGTTCGCGAAGTCGCATTTGCTTTGTTTCCGATACGTAAGTTTCGCAGCTCAAAAATGACATGCTAAGCAATCACAAAATAGTTTAACAAGTGTCACTTTTCTTAACTGTCACTATTTAGCTGCTAAACAGTGAAAACACCCTGTATTGCATGTGATCACGCAAGATGAGGACTGTGAATCAGAACCAAATATAACTTTGAATCGTGTTTCAATCAGTTTTTGCAGGGCAATTTCCGCAATCAAGCTTACAAGGATCGTAGAAATCTGCAACCACCACATACGGACTCCTTTTCATACAAAACAAGCATTATTCCATTGCATGCCCTTGAGAACATTGTAGAAAGAGTTCGAAGGCAGAAATTTGAGCGCAAACCTGCGGTTAGGTCTATGTTGGGTGGCTTGAGCTACAAAAACTCAAATTTCCTTTCTAATGCTTGCTTCGCTAACCATCTATGAGAAAATGAAACCGTATCGCTTCTAAACCTGCTGAAAAACTGCGGTACCTATAAAACACACTTTTACTTATATAGTATGTGTGAAAGTATTTTCAAATAAAAAAAGCAGCTAAGCGTTTTTTTGAAGGTGTAGCACAGCTGGATCGAAACTAGATTTGACTTCTGACTATGTACAAGAAGACTTTGGAAACCAGGAATTACTGTGGTGAATAGAAATTCCGGTGTACCTATATTAGAGTATCTCATAATTCTTTACCATTTTTAGTACAACCTCATCTTTTGTATCTTTCCTTTAAATGTTGTAGCTTGAGTAACCCATTCGACAAGGCAAAGCTCAAGATGGCTATGAAGAGTCCGCTCAAATAGTTTTTCACGCGAAATGAGCTAAAATTTGATAGCAGTCGAAAAGACCTAAAAATTAGTCAAATTCCTATCTCCGCTTCAAAAAATCTCAAAAAAATCCCCCATTTATCCTAGCATATGCTTGACACATCGAACATTCGATTGCACACTTTTCTTATTTTTTTCATATTTTTTCCACTGCTAGAAATAAAGAAAAAATGGGGAAATACCGCCCCTAGAGTCATAGCTCCTCCCACGCATGAGATCATATAGTCCAAATACACAAGTGCGCTCATGTATTTGTACCCTTTGTAAGTAAGTGCCCCAGTTCTCGAGAAATGCTGATGCTTAAGGAAAAACCGGAATAAAATTATGAGACACTCTAATAGTTTTGGCCAGGTTTTCTGGTTCCCAAAATTTTTGGATTTTTCCCTGAATCAAACGAAAGCTGGACTCCTCTTGGTTACTGACAGTAAACTATTGGACACACAGCTGTACAACTTTCAGATCAATTCGTTGAAAACCAAATGAGTTACGACATTTTCCAAAGTCGGCCTACGGTTTTGGCCACTTCTGTATGAGCGATTCATCGCACGCAAAGACAGGGCGTTGCTACGGATGCTTCCTACGTTTTACTGATCGAGCACTCTTTCATCCTTCTCGCCATCTGCTGTCTCTGCCATGCACGATCTTAATCAGATGCAACGACGTCCAGCATGCGCGGACGATAAATTGCCTAACACAGGCTTTCTGAAAAGTCCACAGCTTCCTCTGCTATTTCGTAGAAGCGAAGCAAACTTGTAGTTAGCGTTTCGGGCTCTTTTATTATAAAACATGTTATTTGGAAATGCCACGGTCAACAAGTATCCCTTCCTGTAAGAACGACTAACCACACGGTGGTAAAACAATCAGGGTGTATTTTGCTTAAGGCCAGAGTTTTTTTAAATGGACATCAGAAGTTTGAAATCGAGTGATAGATATTCGCCTAGTTTAGATGTTGAACGCCTACATCATATACTAATGGAAGAAGTGATGTATGGGACTATGATGTCAGCTTCTCAAACTAAGAATTGCATGAGAACGTAACTTTCAATGTAGAATGTACCACTTTATACGATTAGAAATCCCTGAGGAAAACGGTACAATTTTTAATCAGTCCCTGACAAACTTTACAACTGTGTCTTACTTCACGACTTTCCTGCCTTCGAACAAACCGCGAGTTTATCCAGTTACGCTGTCTGCGAGCATACTGTCGAGTATGGAGCTTGACATCTTCGCAACTTGATGAAAAATGTGAGCTCATGAGTATTACACATATAAATGTAATGCAAGGTCAAAAAAACTCTAACTCAACCCTTTCTCAAATAGGAGCCGCCCTTTTTCAGACAGCCGTTGTTCTGCAGACAGCTCTAAATAAGGGAGAAACTCCTTTAGCCCAATGCATTGCAGAACTCCAAAATGTTCTCTGTTCCGCAATTTCTCGCCGTTCTGAAAACAGACCACATTGAATGATGGAGGACAATTTTGAACAGGAGAGAAAATTTTAAGCAACAACCTCAGCATAGTAACTCTCTAATTCCTTTTTCAGTCCTAATTGTTTCATTTTCTCCACACGCAAGTCCAGTCGTTCAGCGAGCACCTCTTTAGAAGCATCAAGTGAAATCAGCTGTAAGCAGATTATGAGATCGAAAGTTGCAGCACTTTTGAATCGACAAACCAATGATTCTGGAAATCGAAGATGTCCTCCCAGATCTTGGAATCTTCTGAGCTTCTTTTGTTCCAATATGAACTCACTTTTCTTCCTGCCTGATTCAAAGAATTCACGAAGTCTCGGCAACAATGATTTGACGCATGATGAACGCATTAATGACCGTGTTTAAGAGGGCCACGCATTATCAAACTTAAGACAAACAGAAACATGTCATGCGCTTTTTTATTCCATGAAGATGTATTAGATCGTCCCGCAAATTCTTGTAATTTCGAAGTACTTGTTATAAAAAGTCGTGGAATGGAGATAAGCAAGCGCTTCAGAAAGTGTGCTAGATAGCTCAATAGTCATTTAGCAGTGATGTTTTGGTTTGTTTGAACTGGTTGCCCCTGTGATTAATGGAATAATGGTCGGAATTTTAACTAAAGGTTCGCCCTTCTTTACCAATTTTTGAAATATTTTCATTTCAGACTTTTGGAAGAATTTTGCTAGCAGGTGGATAAAGGCCACAAATTGCAATATGCGTTCTTTTCCCATTGCTAATCAAATTATTGTTTTGATGTAATTAAGTATCCTGTTTGGTTGATATAACCCTCATAGAACATTAAACGGCCAGCAACGCGAGTGCCTTCGTGCATTTGATTCTCTTTCTGACAGATGTTTCTTCTTTCAAACTCGTGATGTCTTCGGGGAATAATTATCATAATTCTAGTTCTTGAACGTGCCTCTGTTGTAACCCGAAAAATCGAAATTCGATATTTCGAAGATCATTTGCTTTAAAAATGAGTGTACCCATGTTTCTTAGGGCCGCATGCATTAACATCCCCGCTGGAAAAATGTACGCAACTTGAGATGCATCATATTCTGATTCTCTGAACATCTGAGGCGTACTTATCAAACTCCCGCTCGCTGTTCGGGCGCTTTTCGTTGTTATACACTGCCCGGACAGGCGAGAGCGTCCAAAAAGTTATTTCATGAGGATGGTTAGCATGGCCTGAACGGGCAGCAGAGCCCAATCTGTCGAGATCGGTCCTGCTGCCCGATATGGCCAAACTTGCCAGTCGGACCCTTGAACCCACGCATTAGAAATGGGAGCATAAAGGGAGAAGGCGACTGTGTGTGGATGGGGGGAGGGGGGGGGGGGGGGTACGCTTCAACGATATCCCCCTTGCTTTTTCCAAAACGATATCCAGCTGCCACGTAAGCCACCTGTGCCGAGCCCTGTCCCTGATGAGATTATGTACGAAAGATTCATGAATACCGCACGTGGATTTCTCCTATCAATCCATCCGCAAGTGTTTTCACTACCCGATACCATAAGCATATTGAACAGTAGCGAGAAGTTGCTAAGCTGCAATTTCAGTTTTTCGTATGATCCCCTGATGATCTCCGGCAACCGACCGTAATTTCTTTGAAGTCACTTTCTTTCAGTATTGTCCATGTTCGGCTATCCTTGAACCTTGGCATGGCTTGTTACTTAGTGGATGTGTGATTTGAGCGGTTGACCACGATGGTAACAATTTATTATGGTACCAGTGCGTCACCTCTGCTTCGCAGAGGCTCGCACTGGTTCTACTATCTAGGCCCTACTCATTCTCGCATAATGATGGCATTGAAACTCACCGAGCAATGCCTACTATCATGAACAAATTGTAAACAACTACTCATTCCGAAAGCTTTTTCATGTGAAATCGGTGATTTCGCGTGGATGAAATTTTTTTGCAGGAGAACAAAGCAAAATTTTGCACGTTTTTGATTTTCCCACAGTCTTGACAGTCGCTATAAGAACAGTAGTCACCATAAGCTACATTTAGGTGCAAAAATCTCATCAAATGCTCTGGTAAAAGCTTGGCAAAATGACCATTTACGCAACCAATACTTTTTGGCGCCGTTTTTGTAAAGTAGTGGACTTTTGATCAATTTTTTGGGCCTAAGTTCATAGTTTGCACATTTACTTGCCATAAACATCCACGAGCCTGCAAAAAGTAATACTACGGACTCAAATTTGCTGGCCAGAAGCCATGTGGATCCATTTGACGCGCAATTTTCAATGGATCCACTCAACGGATCCGCTTATGCTTTTGTATAGTGAGCTTTCATGCTAGTAACGTGCGTTATGCAAAATTTGGGCTCAGGACGTTGGCTAGAACACGCTCTACGAATTTCGTGACAGACAGAGATTCAGACAAACAGACAGACAGACAAACGTAAACAACCCTTAGCCCGTTATTATAAGTTATGATAGTGGCCTAGGTTTCGGCGCTGTATATGCAAGACTATGCCTCAGCTCTACTTATTGCCGTTCTGACCTGACCTCATATTCAAATCCGCATATGGATTGATATGGCGTTGGATTTTTGGCATTTATCTAAAACGCTTTCGACTGCGCGCAAGGATCTCGAGCTTGAACGACAAGATTAGCGCCGCAATTTGTATTTAAGCTTTATCATGGCGCATACGATGCTTTCCTAATGGAGTGGCTGCTTAAAACTTATTCAAGCCGTCTAAATATTTCTTAACGCGACAGCGGAGAGGGCGCCCTGTTCCACCAATGCATGCTAAACATCTAATAAGATGTATTAGGTTGTCCGGAAATTAATGCCCGTTTTAAACTTCAACCGCAATAAGTCATACACTTCTCATTTCTGAATAGGTTGCAAGGTACCATTCGATAGAATAAAGCAAGCTCTACAAAAAGGCCGTCTTGCTTTTGCAACAGCTCTTACACACCTCGAGTTTCGAGCCAAAAACTAAAAAGACTCAGAAGCCCGAAAAATCGAAAAAACTCGTAACTCAGTTCATAAAAATCCTACAAAAATTCCTAGTTTTCCTGCTCAATTCCTTTTCCTGCTCACGTAAACACTACCCATATAACACATCTATATACGCTTTTGCCGCATTTTTTTCTCTGTTAGAAACCAAGAAAACGGAAGTTTTCCTGCATTTGCCAAAGTGATGCTGAGCCATCCCCACATAGGTAGTTGTACACCACAAGCCTGTAGAAGTACAGACTTAAATTTTCAGCTCTCTACAATCTTTAGTTCCCGAGAAATTTGAATCTTAGCTTGGACCACCTAACTAAGGAAAGCTATATTCGATATTTCTCGAGAACTAAAGCTTGTAGAGAGCTGAAAATTTAAGTCTGTACTTCTACAGGCTTGTGGTGTACAACTACCTATGTGAGGATGGCTCAGCATCACTTCGGCAAATGCAGGAAAATTTCCGTTTTCTTGGTTTCTAACAGAGAAAAAAATGCGGCAAAAGCGTATATAGATGTGTTATATGGATAATGTTTACGTGAGCAAGTAGGAATTTTTGTAGGATTTTTATGAACTGAGTTACGAGTTTTTTCGATTTTTTGGGCTGCTGAGTCTTTTTAGTTTTTGGCTCGGAACTCGAGGTGGATGAGAGCTGTTGCAAAAGCTAGATGGCCTTTTTGTAGAGCTTGCTTTCCTCTATCGAATGGTACCTTGCAACCTATTTAGAGATGAGAAGTGTATGACTTATTGCGGTTGAAATTCAAAACGGGCATTAACCCCGCGCGAATTTTGATTTGAATAAGATCGAGCAAAGCAAGCCGAAGTCATCTCAAGCGGCTAAGTAGCGCTAATCTCGACTCGACAGCACTTACGAAGAGCGGAAACTGGTGCAGAGCATTCAACATGACTCGAACATGATCGTGCTCGACATGCCCACGCTCGACGGATATCCTAGCCAGTAAATTCTCACCTGGAGCATTTGATCACGATGTCCAAGTCGATTACACGACCCTGAAGGTGCTGATCGCAAGGAGGGATGTCGTATATGGCAACTGTCAAGCCAAAAAGTTGACAACCGCCACCTGGCGTGGTGTCCTTATTGCTGTTCCAGCAATGAAGAGACCTTGCATCACTGCGTTAGCAGCTTGAGCCGCTTCGCTCTTACATGTCTGGAACTAGTGCTGTGTCCGGGCATTTTTTGCAAACAAGAGAAAGTATAGTTCGTGCTTCTAAATAAAGTCCTTTGGTACCGGTACCGTGTAGAACATTGAGCGCAAACCCCATGGATCCAATGCCTTGCAGTACCTACATTTGTCCAGAATACCGAAGAGGGGTTATCACATCAAATTATCTCAAAGAAATCCTATCACCGATGTCCTCTGATAAGAGGGTAACAGCTATGGATTTCTATACGCACTGCATGATAATAAGTACGTTCCCTCAATCACGAATTAGAGGAAATTAGTAAGCCAATTAGGCTCCCGGCCGAGCGGCTGCATTCTCCGGCTGAGCGACCTCATTCGCCGGGCAAGCGCCACGCAATCAGAAAGCACCGGGCGGGCGGCTACATTCACCGACCGGCCGGTATACGATTGAAAGACGTCGCCGAGCGGCATCACTGACCAGCCGGCCAGCCCGCAGTCGAAGCGCGGGAAATCGATGGTGTTCAAATCTGCTGGCAAGGCAGCACTTCACATGTAAAAACTTGTGAAAACTTGGTTTTCCAGTGCCACGCTACTTCATTCATTCATTCACGCTGACTCATTCTTGTTATGTACTTCGTACACTCCTACAAAAATTCCTACTTGCTCACGTAAACATTACTCACATAAAACATCCATATGCGCCTTTGCCGTATTTTTCTCTCCGTTAGAAACAAGATAACGGAAATTTTCGTGCATTCATCAAAGTGATGCTGTGCAGTCCTCACATAGGTATTTGTATACCACAAGCCTGTAGAAGTACAGACTAAAATTTTCAGCTCTCTACAAGCTTTAGTTCTCGAGAAATACCGAATATAGCTTTCATTAGTTAGGTGGTCCAAGCTAAAATTCAAATTTCTTGAGAACTAAAGCTTATAGAGAGCTGAGAATTTACGTTTGTACTTCTACAGGTTTGTAGTATACAACTATCTATGTGGCAGTGGCGTACCCAGGATTTCGGCTCGGGGGGGGGGGGACAAAAAAAATTTTTTGATGAAGGTGCGTGGCGTTAGCCACGCATTCCAAAAAAATTTTTGGGGTGCTTCTTGAAATTTTTGCGGGTCCCCAACCCGTAATCTTTATTCCAATCAAGGCCTAATGTTTCGACGCCTTTCGTCTTCCTCAGAGGCCTGAAAA